AACCCTAAAAAACCCTAAACCCTAAACCTAAACCCTAAACCCGAAACCCTAAACCTAAAACCCTAAACCCTACCCTAAACCCTAAAAACCCTAAACCCCTAAACCCTAAACCCTAACCCTAAACCCTAAACCCTAAACCCTAAACCCTAAACCCTAACCCTAAACCCTAAACCCTAAAACCCTAAACCCTAAACCCTAAACCCTAAACCCTAACCCTAAACCCTACCAAACCCTAAACCCTAAAACCCCAAAACCCCTAAAACCCTAAACCCTAACCCTAAACCCTAAACCCTAAACCCTAAACCCTAAACCCTAAACCCTAAACCCTAAACCCTAAACCCTAAACCCTAAACCCAGTACCTGGTACTGGAGCTGCTGGTACTGGAGGTGCTCGTGCTACTAGTGCTGGAGCTGCTGGAGCTGCTGGTCCTGGGGGTGCTCGTACTAGAGGTACTGGAGCTGCCGGAGCTGGTGGTGCTGCTGGTGCTGGAGGTGCTGGAGGTGCTGCTGGAGGTGCTCGGGGTACTGGAGTTTCTGGCACTGGAGGTGCTGGTGCTACTCGTGCTGGAGCTGCTGGAGCTGCTGGTCCTGGAGGTGCTCGTACTAGAGGTACTGGAGCTGCCGGAGCTGGTGGTGCTGCTGGTGCTGGAGGTGCTACTGGAGGTGCTGGTGCTACTGGTGCTGGAGGAGCTGGAGCTAGAGGTACCGGAGCTGCTGGAGCTGCTGGTCCTGGAGGTGCTCGTACTGGAGGTGCTGGAGCTGCCGGAGCTGGTGGTGCTGCTGGTGTTGGAGGTGCTGGAGGTGCTGGGGTGACTGGAGCTGCTGGCACTGGAGGTGCTGGTGCTACTGGTGCTGGAGCTGCTGGAGCTGCTGGTCCTGGAGGTGCTCGTACTAGAGGTACTGGAGCTGCCGGAGCTGGTGGTGCTGCTGGTGCTGGAGGTACTACTGGAGCTGCTGGCACTAGAGGTGCTGGTGCTGCTGGTGCTGGAGGTACTGGAGCTGCTGACGGTCCGGGTACTGCGCCGCGCCGACCGTTTTTCTGCCCCCAGCCGCAGTCGTCCCTTCCACTGCCTGACTCAGCTCTTCGCCAGGTTCTTAGTCTCCCGTCTTCCACTGGCCTCACTCCACCTCTCCTGTGTCCACCGACAGACCAGTCTCAGCCACAGCTACTGCCTGGCTCCCCGCTGCCTGCTCCTACTCCTCACACTGAGGTGACTGAGTCCCTGACTGAGTGTCGTGAGCCTGAGACTCGTGCTTCCACACCTGTTCGTGCTTGTCGTATCGCTCGTCCTCGTCCTCCTGCTGTCCCAGGCACTCACGGTATGGCACATCGTCCTTCCTCTGTTCTACAGCGTGTTTTCCTGCCATAGCCTCCCGCGTCCTCTCTTCCGCACGTTCCTGACCCTGAGTCAGACCTTGCTCGTGCTGCCAGTCCTACTGTCACTCGTCTCCTCGCTACTATCGTCACTGACCCTGACTTTGAGTCTACTGCTGCGTTTGCCCTAGTCACTGAGCTAGTCGACTTTGCTGCTAGGAGTCGTCTCGACTACGTCGTGAGTCTTGTTACTGAGTCTGAGTCTGTCTGTCCTCCGTCCGTCGGGGGTGAGCCTGCCCTTGGCAGTGACGTCCTTGAGGACAGGCAGTTTGAGCTTGAGTGTCTTGCGGCCGTATTACCTCGTTTCGCATCCATGCTGCTTTGCCCTGAGGGAGACCCGGATGCACTTGACATCCCTACCCCGCGCTCTTACGCTAAGGCGATCGCGGGTGAGTACTCCTCTCAGTGGCAGACAGCCATGGACGCAGAGATGGCTTCCTAGAAGTCCACAGGCACCTACGTCGACGAGGTTCCTCCTCTTGGGGTGAACATAGTCGATGGCATGTGGAGTTTCAGAGTGAAGCGACCGCCGGGTTCTCTGCCTGCCTTCAAGACGCGTTACGTTGCTCGAGGCTTCAGTCAGCGACAGGGGGTCGACTACTTCCAGACCTTCTCCCCCACCCCGAAGATGACTACTCTTCGGGTGTTGCTGCACGTTGCAGCATAGCGTGACTATGAGCTGCACGCCCTCGACTTCTCCACAGCTTTCTTGCAGGGCAGCCTTCACGAGGAGATCTGGCTGCGCCGCCCACCTGGCTTCACTGGGTCGTTTCCTTCTGGTACCCAGTGGAGCCTCCGGCGGCCAGTCTACGGTCTCCGCCAGGCGCCCCGCGAGTGGCACGACACACTGAGGACTACACTTGCGGCTCCTGGGTTTGCTCCTTCCTCAGCTAACCCGTCGCTGTTTCTACGCACCGACACTACCCTGCCGCCGTTCTACGTTCTCGTGTACGTCGACGACTTGGTTTTTGCTACTGCTGACACTGAGGCGCTGGCCCTAGTGAAGGCGGAGCTGCAGGAGAGACACACCTGCACTGACCTGGGTGAGCTGCGTAGCCATCTTGGCTTGCATATCACCCGGGACAGAGCACGGCGCACCATCACCCTGACTCAGTCACACATGGTGCACCAGGTCCTTCAGCGCTTCGGCTTCCAGTACTCCTCACCACAGTCCACTCCTCTGCCTACTGGCCACTCGCTCTCACCTCCACCTTCGGACGAGTCCGTAGAGCCGAGTGGTCCGTATCCAGAGCTTGTGGGTTGCCTCATGTACCTGATGACGTGCACACGACCTGACCTCGCGTACCCTCTCAGCCTCCTGGTTCGCTACGTGGCTCCCGGTAGACACCGAAAGGTGCACTGGGATGTTGCGAAGTGGGTACTGCGTTACTTGTGCAGTACATCGGGCATGGGGCTTGTGCTTGGGGGACAGGGTTCAGTGGTATTCACAGGACACTCCGACGCTTCTTGGGCCGACGACCAGGCGACTCAGCGTTCGTCACAGGGTTACACCTTCAGTCTTGGCTCTGAATCTGTCTCGTGGAGGTCCACTCTTTCTTCTTTTGTGCTTGGTTCCAGCTGTGAAGTCGAGATCTACGCTGGGGCTATGGCTGCACAGGAGCTACGCTGGCTGACCTACCTGCTGACCGACTTGGGGGAGCGACCTCGTTCTCCTCCAGTTCTGTACGTCGACAACAACGCCATGTTTGCCTTGTGTCACGAGCAGAGACTGGAGCACAGAACGAAGCACATTGCTCTTCGCTACTTTCTTGCTCGAGAGCTGCAGCAGCGTGGTCAGCTTCGCCTTTCTTACGTGGCCTCTCGGGCCAACACTGCTGATGTCTTGACCAAGGCCCTCGGGTCTGGTGATCATCAGCTGCCCGTTCTGCCTCACCTGCTTGTCTCTTGATCTTGCACTTGTTGTACACTGATTTCTATATTTATACCTGCATGTTTCCTCTTGCTAGGTTGTGATCAGTGTACTGCCTTGCCATTATCACTCTGCATGTGAACTGGCCTTGTGGCCGCTTGCTTGTGCTCAGAATGAGTGGTGATCTTGAGATCCACCCTGGGCTGTGCATTGCTTTGTTCTCTTGCCTGTCTGGTCTTGTGACCGTTTGTTGTGTTGGCTATCTCTCATTTTGCCTAGGGGGGTGAGTCAAAACATATTTGTATGTTCCTAGTTCTGCTAGGCTACAGTGAGGTGCTCAGTATAGAGTACAACCCCAGTTAGGGTTTACTACTTGTATCTCCCTGTTGCTAGTCATTCATCATTCCTGTTTACCTATCTCATCATTCCTGTTTATAATGATGTCACCCCAAAAGGGGGGTCTAATTCAAACAGCCCATAATAATGGACACCCCCCCCCCGTATTAAAGACCCGGGTACATTATGTAGGGGGGGTCTTATATCCGGGGGATTATGGTACTGTTCCAGTCTTGGCGCCGGAGCTGTCTCGTGGAGGTCCATTCGCTTGTTTTCGGTGGCATAAATCTGTAAGGCAGAGTTCTACGCTGGTGCTATATGGCTGCTCAGGAGCTCCGGTGGCTGACGTTTTGTTTACAGACTGATAACATGGCCAAGATCCTCCTATGTCAAGAGCCTAGATTAGAGGGTAGAGCGAAGCAGCACATCCTCATGTATTAAAACCGGGGTGCACATTCAGCTGAATGTGCATCAAAGGTTATCCCTTGACTGAGTGGGTTACGAGGTGTGCTTTCAACCCCTTCAAGTCGAAATTCGTTTCCCCCCTCCCCCGCAATTTCGTTTCCCCTCGCCCCCGCAATTTCATTTCCCCCTCCCCGTCGAAATTCGTTTCCCCCCTCCCCCGCAATTTTGTTTCCCCCCTCCCCCGCAATTTCGTTTCCCCCCCCTCCCGCCAATCTGTTTCATCCCTCCCGCCATTCGGTTTCACCCACTCCCGCCATTTCACCCCCTCCCGCCACCTACGAAATGCCCAAAGCTCTAGCGGAATCATTTTTTTGTCGCCCCTCGTGAGCCAATCACTGTTTTTCTCCAAACCCCCTTCCCAACATCTCAAGCCGAACCGCGTTGAATGTGCACCCTGGTTTTAATATCTAAAACCCAGACCCGGCATTGAGTGGGACGGGATTCTTGGGGGGGCACATTGATTGATCAGTGTGCCGTACCTCAACGTAATATGAGTGTTTGTTGTGGCATCACGTGACATAAAGACCAAAAACAAAATATCAGATAAACATTTGATGTACACATTCGATCACTAAACTGCAAAATTGGATGCCATATGGCAATGTTTCTGGCACGAACCATGTGGCATGGTGGTAGTGCACGGTTGGGACATCAAGAGTGAGGAAATTGTTGAGCAGCAGGGAACCCTCACACATGGCATTCATCTTCCATGCGATGGCACAGCAATCAGCATGGGACAGGACCCAGTCACAACGGACTGTCAAAAATTGCAGGTACTATCACCACCACCACCACCACCACCACCACCACCACCATGCCACTTGATGCTTCACGCTCGCCCTCCCCCTCCCACAACCCCTACCTTCCCTCCTCATCCCTCGCCCCTCCAGTCTTGTGTTGGACGATGACTCAAAATTGACCCCAGTCTCCTTGAGCTGGTGTGCTCTCAAAACAATGTGTCTCCATCTCTGTCCAGTGCCACTGGAGGATGGCGGGACTGCCTCTGCCCCCTACCCTCTGCCCCCTGCCTCTGCCCTCTGCCCCTGCCCCCTGCCCCCTGCCCCCTGCCTCTGCCCCCTGCCCCCTGCCCCCTGCCCTCTGCCTCTGCCCTCTGCCCTCTGCCTCTGCCCCCTGCCCCCTGCCCCCTGCCCTCTGCCTCTGCCCTCTGCCTCTCCCCCCTCCCCCTACCCCTGCCCCCTGCCCTCTGCCTCTGCCTCTGCACTCCCCCTAGGTGTGCCAATTCGCAGTGCCAGCGCTGCTGCGGACAATGCAGCAAGCGCACGGCACAGCATGCACGCGTGCGTGTGAGCAGGGAAGTCACTTGCCCCCTGCTCCTCTCACTTGCCCCCTGCTCCTCTCACTTGCCCCCTGCTCCTCTCACTTGCCCCCAGTTCCTTTCACTTGCCCCCTGCCCCTTTCACTTGCCCCCTGCCCCTTTCACTTGCCCCCTGCCCCTTTCACTTGCCCCCTGCCCCTCTCACTTGCCCCCTGCCCCTCTCACTTCCCCCCTGCTCCTCTCACTTGCCCCCTGCTCCCCTCACTTGCCCCCTGCTCCCCTCACTTGCCCCCTGCTCCCCTCACTTGCCCCCCGTGCGCTTAAGCGAGGCAAAGAAGCCTCCTCGCCTCTCCCTGCGCCTCTGCTCGCCCTCGCCCTCCTCCTCCACCTGCGGCCCACCCGATCACACAGGCACGACGAGGCACACAGCGGGCAGGGTGGCACAAGGGGAGGAGGAAGCGAGGTGGGCATGAGTCAGAAGATGGGTTTGGGAGATTTCGATCATGCGAGGCACATGCATGGAGGGGCAGGTGGAGAGGGGCGGATGGAGAGAGGGGTGGATGGAGAGAGGGAGATGCAGCGAGGGGCAGGAAGGAAGTGCTTAGTGCACCCGCCTACACACCCTCATCTCATGCGACATGCCCCTCCCTCCCCCTCATCTCATATGCCATGCCCCTTCCCCCCCCTCACCTCATGCGCCATGCCCCTCCCTCCCCCCCACCTCGTGCGCCATACCTCACCCCTCCCTCCCACCTCACCTCGTGCGCCATGTCAGCCAGCAGGCGCAGCACGGCACTGAACTCGGGGCGCTCAGCGGGGTTGGTGTGCCAGCAGCGCGCCATCAGCTCCACCAGCCGCGGGTGCGTGCCCTTGGGGATGGGCGGCCGCAGGCCCTGCCGTGGGGGGAGGGGGGGGCAGGGGGGTGCAGGGACGAGAGCACGAGCAGCAGTGCAGAGTGTGAGTTGGTGCGGCTGTGGAGAGAGTGTGCGGTGGTGCAGCGTGTGCAACCCTGTGACCAAGTCACAACCATTCCCACACCCAATCCTCACAAATATTCTCACACCAGCTCCTCACAACCGCTGCACACCACTACTCACCTTTTGCACCACGCTGACAGCTGCTTGCAGAGGCGTGAGATCCGCATATGGCAGCTGTGCCACGTGGCCCGCACACATGCACACACACACGCACGACAACAGGCACATGCACACGCACACGCACAGAAAGTGAGGGGAAGAAGGGGAATTATGAGATGTGAGAGCTGATTCATGCACATGTGCCTGCGGGACGACCTCTGTTTGGGAAACCCGCTTGCCCTCAAAAGACCTACTCACCCCCCCACCCCCACATCCCCCCACCGGTCCACACCTTGAGGGTGAGCAGGGTGGGAAGAGCAGCCCAACGTCATCCCCATCCCCCATGTCAACTGCCCCATCTCCCCCAAACCCCACCCACGAGGCCCATGTGCCCAGGTGCCACCTTACCTTGCCGGTGAGCAGCTCCTACCCCACCCCACCCCACCCCACCGTACCATCCCGGTGAGCAGCTCCCACAGCGTGATGGCGAAGCTGAACACGTCCGCCTTGTGGTCGTACGCGCGGTGCTCTATCACCTGCCACACGCATGGTGCAGCGGGCAGGGGGCATGGCGCATGGGACATGTGACTTCACCCATGGCATGGTACATGTGACTTCACCCATGGCATGGGACATGTGACTTCACCCATGGCATGGGACATGTGACTTCACCCATGGCATGGGACATGTGACTTCACCCATGGCATGGTACATGTGACTTCACCCATGGCATGGGACATGTGACTTCACCCATGGCATGGGACATGTGACTTCACCCATGGCATGGTACATGTGATTTCACCCATGGCATGGTACATGTGACTTCACCCATGGCATGGGACATGTGACTTCACCCATGGCATGGGACATGTGACTTCACCCATGGCATGGGACATGTGACTTCACCCATGGCATGGTACATGTGACTTCACCCATGGCATGGGACATGTGACTTCACCCATGGCATGGGACATGTGATTTCACCCATGGCATGGTACATGTGACTTCACCCATGGCATGGGACATGTGACTTCACCCATGGCATGGGACATGTGACTTCACCCATGGCATGGGACATGTGACTTCACCCATGGCATGGTACATGTGACTTCACCCATGGCATGGGACATGTGACTTCACCCATGGCATGGGACATGTGATTTCACCCATGGCATGGTACATGTGACTTCACCCATGGCATGGGACATGTGACTTCACCCATGGCATGGGACATGTGACTTCACCCATGGCATGGGACATGTGATTTCACCCATGGCATGGTACATGTGACTTCACCCATGGCATGGGACATGTGACTTCACCCATGGCATGGGACATGTGACTTCACCCATGGCATGGGACATGTGACTTCACCCATGGCATGGTACATGTGACTTCACCCATGGCATGGGACATGTGACTTCACCCATGGCATGGGACATTTGACTTCACCCATGGCATGGTACATGTGACTTCACCCATGGCATGGGACATGTGACTTCACCCATGGCATGGGACATGTGACTTCACCCATAGCATGGGACATGTGACTTCACCCATGGCATGGTACATGTGACTTCACCCATGGCATGGGACATGTGACTTCACCCATGGCATGGGACATGTGACTTCACCCATGGCATGGGACATGTGACTTCACCCATGGCATGGTACATGTGACTTCACCCATGGCATGGGACATGTGACTTCACCCATGGCATGGGACATGTGACTTCACCCATGGCATGGGACATGTGACTTCACCCATGGCATGGGACATGTGACTTCACCCATGGCATGGGACATTTGACTTCACCCATGGCATGGGACATGTGACTTCACCCATGGCATGGTACATGTGACTTCACCCATGGCATGGTACATGTGACTTCACCCATGGCATGGGACATGTGACTTCACCCATGGCATGGGACATGTGACTTCACCCATGGCATGGGACATGTGACTTCACCCATGGCATGGTACATGTGACTTCACCCATGGCATGGGACATGTGACTTCACCCATGGCATGGGACATGTGACTTCACCCATGGCATGGTACATGTGACTTCACCCATGGCATGGTACATGTGACTTCACCCATGGCATGGGACATGTGACTTCACCCATGGCATGGGACATGTGATTTCACCCATGGCATGGTACATGTGACTTCACCCATGGCATGGGACATGTGACTTCACCCATGGCATGGGACATGTGACTTCACCCATGGCATGGGACATGTGACTTCACCCATGGCATGGGACATGTGACTTCACCCATGGCATGGTACATGTGACTTCACCCATGGCATGGTACATGTGACTTCACCCATGGCATGGTACATGTGACTTCACCCATGGCATGGGACATGTGACTTCACCCATGGCATGGGACATGTGACTTCACCCATGGCATGGTACATGTGACTTCACCCATGGCATGGTACATGTGACTTCACCCATGGCATGGGACATGTGACTTCACCCATGGCATGGGACATGTGATTTCACCCATGGCATGGTACATGTGACTTCACCCATGGCATGGGACATGTGACTTCACCCATGGCATGGGACATGTGACTTCACCCATGGCATGGGACATGTGACTTCACCCATGGCATGGTACATGTGACTTCACCCATGGCATGGGACATGTGACTTCACCCATGGCATGGGACATTTGACTTCACCCATGGCATGGTACATGTGACTTCACCCATGGCATGGGACATGTGACTTCACCCATGGCATGGGACATGTGACTTCACCCATGGCATGGTACATGTGACTTCACCCATGGCATGGTACATGTGACTTCACCCATGGCATGGTACATGTGACTTCACCCATGGCATGGGACATGTGACTTCACCCATGGCATGGGACATGTGACTTCACCCATGGCATGGGACATGTGACTTCACCCATGGCATGGTACATGTGACTTCACCCATGGCATGGGACATGTGACTTCACCCATGGCATGGGACATTTGACTTCACCCATGGCATGGTACATGTGACTTCACCCATGGCATGGGACATGTGACTTCACCCATGGCATGGGACATGTGACTTCACCCATGGCATGGGACATGTGACTTCACCCATGGCATGGTACATGTGACTTCACCCATGGCATGGGACATGTGACTTCACCCATGGCATGGGACATGTGACTTCACCCATGGCATGGTACATGTGACTTCACCCATGGCATGGTACATGTGACTTCACCCATGGCATGGGACATGTGACTTCACCCATGGCATGGGACATGTGATTTCACCCATGGCATGGTACATGTGACTTCACCCATGGCATGGGACATGTGACTTCACCCATGGCATGGGACATGTGACTTCACCCATGGCATGGGACATGTGACTTCACCCATGGCATGGTACATGTGACTTCACCCATGGCATGGGACATGTGACTTCACCCATGGCATGGGACATTTGACTTCACCCATGGCATGGTACATGTGACTTCACCCATGGCATGGGACATGTGACTTCACCCATGGCAAGGGACATGTGACTTCACCCATAGCATGGGACATGTGACTTCACCCATGGCATGGTACATGTGACTTCACCCATGGCATGGGACATGTGACTTCACCCATGGCATGGGACATGTGACTTCACCCATGGCATGGGACATGTGACTTCACCCATGGCATGGTACATGTGACTTCACCCATGGCATGGGACATGTGACTTCACCCATGGCATGGGACATGTGATTTCACCCATGGCATGGTACATGTGACTTCACCCATGGCATGGGACATGTGACTTCACCCATGGCATGGGACATGTGACTTCACCCATGGCATGGGACATGTGACTTCACCCATGGCATGGTACATGTGACTTCACCCATGGCATGGGACATGTGACTTCACCCATGGCATGGGACATGTGATTTCACCCATGGCATGGTACATGTGACTTCACCCATGGCATGGGACATGTGACTTCACCCATGGCATGGGACATGTGACTTCACCCATGGCATGGGACATGTGACTTCACCCATGGCATGGTACATGTGACTTCACCCATGGCATGGGACATGTGACTTCACCCATGGCATGGGACATGTGATTTCACCCATGGCATGGGACATGTGACTTCACCCATGGCATGGGACATGTGACTTCACCCATGGCATGGGACATGTGACTTCACCCATGGCATGGGACATGTGACTTCACCCATGGCATGGGACATGTGACTTCACCCATGGCATGGGACATGTGACTTCACCCATGGCATGGGACATGTGACTTCACCCATGGCATGGGACATGTGATTTCACCCATGGCATGGGACATGTGACTTCACCCATGGCATGGGACATGTGACTTCACCCATGGCATGGGACATGTGACTTCACCCATGGCATGGGACATTTGACTTCACCCATGGCATGGTACATGTGACTTCACCCATGGCATGGGACATGTGACTTCACCCATGGCATGGGACATGTGACTTCACCCATGGCATGGGACATGTTACTTCACCCATGGCATGGGACATGTGACTTCACCCATGGCATGGGACATGTGACTTCACCCATGGCATGGGACATGTGACTTCACCCATGGCATGGGACATGTGACTTCACCCATGGCATGGGACATGTGACTTCACCCATGGCATTGGACATGTGACTTCACCCATGGCATGGTACATGTGACTTCACCCATGGCATGGGACATGTGACTTCACCCATGGCATGGGACATGTGACTTCACCCATGGCATGGGACATGTGACTTCACCCATGGCATGGGACATGTGACTTCACCCATGGCATGGGACATGTGACTTCACCCATGGCATGGGACATGTGACTTCACCCATGGCATGGTACATGTGACTTCACCCATGGCATGGTACATGTGACTTCACCCATGGCATGGGACATGTGACTTCACCCATAGCATGGGACATGTGACTTCACCCATGGCATGGTACATGTGACTTCACCCATGGCATGGGACATGTGACTTCACCCATGGCATGGGACATGTGACTTCACCCATGGCATGGGACATGTGACTTCACCCATGGCATGGGACATGTGACTTCACCCATGGCATGGGACATGTGACTTCACCCATGGCATGGGACACGTGACTTCACCCATGGCATGGGACATGTGACTTCACCCATGGCATGGTACATGTGACTTCACCCATGGCATGGTACATGTGACTTCACCCATGGCATGGGACATGTGACTTCACCCATAGCATGGGACATGTGACTTCACCCATGGCATGGTACATGTGACTTCACCCATGGCATGGGACATGTGACTTCACCCATGGCATGGGACATGTGACTTCACCCATGGCATGGGACATGTGACTTCACCCATGGCATGGTACATGTGACTTCACCCATGGCATGGGACATGTGACTTCACCCATGGCATGGGACATGTGACTTCACCCATGGCATGGTACATGTGACTTCACCCATGGCATGGGACATGTGACTTCACCC